AGAGAGAGAGAGAGAGAGAGAGAGAGAGAGAGAGAGAGAGAGAGAGAGAGAGAGAAAGAGAGAGAGAGAGAGAGGAGGACAAAATGAAGAAGAACAGAAGGAAAGCGCTCGTCAGTAGAAAGCGAGATGCGAACGAGCGGACACACGACCGGGAAGCCTGACGGCGAAACGAGATCTCTCCGGAATGCTCTCGATGGCGATCGAGGGGCGAATGAGACGAGCCGCGGCGGATGACATGCTTCCGCCGTGAAGAAGCTGAAGAAGACGACATGGCGGAGGGAAAGAGCGAAGGTCTGCGTGAACGCGCTCATCGTGTCTCGTCTTCTCGCGGTGATCCTGAAGATCGCCCGACCCGTAATTCCGCGGGAGCTTGCCGAACGCGCAATTGCCGCTCCGCGGGGACGGAACGCGGACGATTCCAGATGCGCGCAATCCCGAGGAACGAGCCAGGGACGCTCCCGCCGTCGTTCCACGCGTTCTCGCGATTCTTGCGGGTAGAAACGCGCTCGTGTCGCGTCGTTCTCAGCAGACGGCGGCGACGGAGGCGCCCGGACAAGATAAGGAAAGTATCCGCCGTCATCTATCTTCGAGGGAGAAGGAGGAGAAGGAGAGAGAAGGGGGAGGGGAGCCGCGCGATCGCGAACCTAGTCGTCCCATCCCGTCGCGCGCTCCGCCGCATTTCCGAAGAGAAGAACCAAAGAAGCGAACCGGGCGAAGACCGGCCGGTCGGCCAGACAGCCGGAGACACCCACCTGGAACGAGCGAGATCCTCCCTGAGGAGGGCACTGAGAATGAGATGGGGCAAAACGACGACGAGGTGGGAGGGATTCCCTCTCGCGACTTACGTCGCTCGTTTATTTCCGCGTAATGCCGGCCACTGTCGTCCCCGGAAAAACCAAAGAATCATACTCAACCGCGGACGGCGCCCGACGCCTTTTGTCTACGGCATTGCTGAAGAAGAAGAAGGAGCAGGAGAAGTAGGAGAAGCGGACATGAAGAGACGAAGAAGTTGCCTCGCTCACACACAGCAAGACGAGACGGGAAGATTGGACAACAACAGCAACAGCAGCGACGAAATGAGGCAGCGGAGGAGGAACAGCGGGAAGACGTCCCTCGGGACCTAATGGATCCTTCGCGGTGAAACATTGTACAAATGACCACGGCGGAGAAGTAGACGAGACTAGACGACGGGGCGAAAGCAAAAAGCAACCGAGAAAATTGGTGACCATCGACACTCTGTCCCAAAACCGCCGGCTCGAACTCGCGTGACGAGTTTGCGGGGTGAACGCGAGGAGAGGAAGAGCGAAGACGCACGGGACCTGACGCGAGGGGCCTCGCCCTGCTGGGAGACTTTCCCGAACGTGATGAACTGTTGGCTTGCGAAACGGCGAGAGAGGAATACCCTGCGGGAGAACAGCGAGAAAAAGAGAGAAAGAGATCGCTGATCGATTACTAATTCGTCGATATTGCGAACGCCGCAGTTCGAATTACGGAAATAATTAGGAGGTGTCCGTGAGGAACGGTGCGACGGCCAATTTGTAAGACGCGCGAAACCGATTAGTTTCTTCAGATCACCGTTAGATGGGCCGACTCGTCGCCCAAGAAGTACTTGAAATTACGCGCGCGAAAGAGCGAATTTATTCGGAACTGGAAAAGTTCGATTCGTACTTCGCGTTCCTCGAACTTTCATAGCTGTAGTTACCGGGGCTTACGCCGTTTCTTCCACGGGCGCCTCGTGATCACTTTGTCGAGTCTATCCGTTGTTATTCTCGTTAGTGCATTCACAAAGAGACTCGCAGGGTCTCGAGCGAGCGAGCGAGCGAGCGAGCGAGCGAAAGCGAAAGAGAGAAACAGAGAGCGGGAGGAGAGGGAGAGAGACGCGGATGATGAGATCGCAATGACGACTCGTTACCATTTCGACGTACATACATATGTATTACTCCGCGTGCAAGATCGATCTATCACCAGTAGGAGAGTATGCAAATTCGCCGGGTCATCAAATTCATATCCGTATAGCCATTGCACTTTTTTCCCCCGCGTCATCGTTAATTAATCCTCGAAGGGCCGCGATGGAGAGCGAAAAAGGAAGACGTCAGGAGAGAAAGAGAGGAAGGAGAACACGAATACTCTTCCCCACGACATGCGCTCGTGAAAATTGAAACCCACCCTGACCGAATGACCAACCGAGCGACGTGCGACGGAGCGATCGGAGCGCGTGTCAATATGTAAAGAGACGCTATTTAATATTACAATGATAATGATAATGATTTCCAAACGAGCTGAGAATGTAACGGATCTGTATGCCGAGCGTGCGTGTCGAGTGTTTCGCAGCCGCAGTTCGATTCGTAGTTCGAAATAACACGAGACGAATGGACAGTTGGCTGAAGCTCATGGACTTAAACACATAGACTGAGTTTTTCACAAGAGACCATGTGAAGATTTGACCAGGAAAGAATGCCCTGTTAGCACAGGCGTGCGAACTTCTTCTAGCTTCTCCTATTAGGTATTTCGTCTAGTTTTTTCCAAAACAGGTCAAGCTAGACCAAAATGGAGTATCAGCGGAAATAGCTATTCTTCAATACTCTCATGAGGCGCAGTATATGTATATAAGTATATTTTCGAATGAAACGCTAAACTATAGACTTATATATATAGACCGTTATTTTAAATTCTCTTTCATTGGCGAAAGTGTCTCTAAATGTAGTTTATAAGCCGAGCGAGACTTATAGACCTTCCGATTGGTTGTCAGTTTCATTCAGAGGCACTTTCGTCATTAAAAAGAAGTTCAAAATAGACCGTAGATTGCGTCCCCTTTTACCTCTGTCTCATTTGACTCCCATTGGAGGAAGCTAGAGGAAATGTCCGACAGCAGTCAAGCTAGACAGAGCTCGAGAGTGTTTGCACCAACACCCATTTCTGATCATCTTTGCAGTCTCCAGTCTTCGCAGACTGTGTAACTAGTCCATGGTCCAAACGCTAAACGTACGATCGAGATACGGTCTGGTGTTTTCAAAATATCGTGTACATAAATCGAAACGGCACTTAAAACGCTTCAAACGTTCCGTGCGCGCGTTATCGCCGCATTATCGGCGTTAATTTCAGCCCAAACCCGAGGGAGGAAGGGAAAGAGCGAGAGAGAGGAAGGGGATGTTAGCTTCTCTACTCCCTCCCTCTGGTCGTGGTGGGTGTAATAATGCGTAATGTAACGGCGAGCGAGGCCAGGACACAAAACACCGTCGACAACGGTAACAACCGGTCGGCGGACCTGTCGGTTTTTGGTCGCAGCTCGCGTTTTCGACAACGGCCGCTCGTTAATATCCTCGCGGATTCCCCCCGACAGCGTTATCTGCTCGCGCGATCATTAACGCGCATTAATTGTATACCGACTGTAAATAGCTGTACATAATATAGAGACGCGCGCTGTTTGTGTGTCGCGTATGTGCGCGTTTTTGTGTGCGCCGCGTGCGCGCATACGCGTACTGTGTGTGTGCGTGTGTATGCGAAAGCGTTTCGCGGGAAGAAGAGAGGAGGGGAGCAAAGGCGCGAGATGTAGGCGCGTGTAGTGGGGAGAGGGAGAGAAAAAGGCGTAAGGAAGAGAGTCGGTTCACAGTCTAGTCGTTTCGCGTCGTTGTCGTAAGTACGTACATTTACAATTATAAATATTGTATTTAAACGGGGCGGGGGGGGCGGGGGGGGGAGAGGGGGCCGCACATTCTCGGGGGAGCACGCTTAGTGTACAGAATCTTACGTACACACGCGCGCGCAACATACACGCAAAAACACACACATACACGAAAGATATGTTCCTCACACTTCTGATTAATTTATCGTCGCGCCGTCGTCCTCGGATCGTCGTCGGATCGAGCGATCGCCTCTGTGCGACGTGCGCGACCTAAACGATACCTATACTATCGATGGCTCGTATCCAGCCGGCGCCGTTTAGCGCCAATTTGCGGCTGCTCGACGGCCCGTCCAAGTGATTCTGCCGCAAATTTAGCTGTAAATAGTTACGGCCGTCTGATGTCCATTCGAGGGATACACTGAGAACAATTATTCGATAAGAAATTAACAAGCGGATTTTTTATTAAAACCGATGAATTTTTGTGTCTGATTCATCTGATAAGAAATATCGGTCTATCTGATGAAAATCATCATGATGAAAGATATTCAAGTAAATTTAGTCGGATATTTTGATCGGATATTTTGATCGAAAATATGCGTTTGTTAATTTTTTATCGGATAATTTCTCGCAGTGTACTTATCCCGTTCGCCAGATCTTTGCTTTTGAGCCAATCGATTGCGAATTGAATCGGTCGGTCACCAGTCGAGATTCGAGAATCACAGAAGCTCACTGTATAAGGGAAAGGAATGAAAAAGAAGGACATGTATTTATCATTTCTGATTCGACAAATCTCTATTGCTTTGCAGAATCGAGGAAGATAATATAAATTCATTAGAATTTGCAGAAATC